GCTGGGTAGAGTATTCTAGGGTTGAAGTTATTTTCATTCAGTACTCAGAAGACCTCACTCCATGCTCTTCTTGCTTTTAATGTTTCCGTTGAGAAATCTGCTGTGATTTTGATGGGTTTACCTTTGTAGTTATTTGTTTTTTTTTCTCTTTACAGCCCTCAAATATTTTTCTCTATACTCTGTACTTATTTTAATGACTGTCCTTCTCTAAATTTTTCTACTCAGGAGGTGTATTAATTGCTTCATTTCTAACATATACCTAACAGAACATCAATTGGACTTTTGAGTATTCCAGCTATTTGAGTTTAAATTCTGGTAAGTTCTAAGAGTGGGTCTCCAAACCCAGACTCAAATTCATTGCTTATAGAGTTACAAATTATGTATTCTAGCAAATATTTGAAATCTCATTATATACTAGTGATTGTGCTAAACACTTCACATGAATTTTTCTCATTATACAACTACAAAATGCACATTATCACTCTCTTTTTTCAGATGAGAAACCTGAAGCTTAGAGAGCTTAAGTAACTTAACAAGAGTCACATACTAATCAAGGAACAGAGTCTGAGTGCACAGTATGCCAGGTTTTGATGCTCCCAGAGCCAACCTTTTTAAACTATGGTGGTATGCCCTGTTGTTTGACTCAAGTGATTCTCAACTTCTTTGGGCCCCTTAAGGACCTCTTTGCTTTCTTAATTATTGAGGACTCAAACTTTTCTTTAGTGGGTTTCATCTGTCAGTATTTGCCTATGAAAAATTAAAATCTAAGAAAATTAAATTCTTATCTATTAAATATTTAAATAACAATAATAAATCAAATCTTTTTTTTTGTTTTTGGCGATAATAGGGTTTTGAAACTCAGAGCCTGCACGCTTGCTCCGGCAGACACTAACGCCACTTGAGCGCATGCCCCAGCCTTTTTAGTTTTAGGTATTTTACTGTTGGGTGTTTTCTCTCAAACTATTGCCTGGGCTTGGCCTTGAACCTCAATTTCCTTATCTCTTCCTCCTCAATAGCTAGGATTATAGGCATGAGCCACCCAGTATCTGCAAATCCTTTTTTTTTTTTTTTACCCTTAATAACATTTGTGAAAAAATAATAACAAAGCATGGAGAATCTAAAATAGTCTTCTTTATAACATACCAAAATTTATATAACAGTTTCTTAAAGGTTAGTAACATTGTGAAATCTGAAAACCTATCAATGAAATTTTGTACTGTTAAATTCATTGCACATTTAAATTAATTGGTCTGTCTTATATTTTGAATGTATCTGTTTAGTCATGTATGATTTTGTAACATCATATATTTCATAACTAAAAAGTATTGGTTTATTGAATTAAGTAAGTTGTTCAAATGTTAACATATTTCATTGTATAATATATTATTTTAAAAAAGTAAGATTCATGCCAGATGCCAGTGGCTCATGCCTGTAATTCTAGCTACTTGGGAGGCTGAGATTTAGAGGATCACAGTTTGAGGCCAGCCTGAGCAAAAGTTCATGAGACCCACATCTCCAAAATAACCAGAGCAAAATAGACTGAAGGTGTGACTCAAACAGTAGAGTGCCTGTTTTGCAAATGCAAAGCCCTGAGACCAAACTCCAGTCTCATCAAAAAAAAAAAAAAGAAAGATTCATTAAAAATACAATCAATCTCAGCAGAAAAGTCTTTCAGTATTTTGGAAGCTGTCAAGATCATGGTGGCATATGGAAGTTTTCCACAACATTCTACACTTTTATTTTTTAAAGATTCAGGGTCTCCTCCTCTGCTGTCCAAGCTGACCTCAAAATCTTTGACTCAAGTGATCCTCATGCCTCAGACTCCCCAAGTAGCTAGGACTACAGGAGTGTGCCACTGTGCCAAGCTAAAATTCTTAATTTTTTACTTGAAGGCTTACATTTTGTCATTAGCAACAAATACTGTTAGTTTTTTTTTTCTCTAAAAGTACTGTCTCATTTCACTTTTCAGAAAAAGTATGCAGAATAACCAAATCTGAATAATGATAGTTTGTCAGTTTTTTCAAGAAAAAATAGTGCTTTATAAAAAAAAAAGTTGGCTAATTTAGCTCACAATTCAAGCAATCACACAGTGCTTTTCCTCAAGACCAACTGTGTACTTCAGTAATACAAGGGAAATGCTTAAGTGTACTTCTCATTAAAACCACTGAATTGAAATATATTCAATATTTAATAAAATTATCATTTTTTGCTATTTCATTAAGATTATTCTTGGGCTAGAGCATATCTCAAGTGGTAGAGCACCTGCCTACCAAGCACAAGGCCCTGAGTGCAAACCCCCAGTACTGACAAAAATAAACCATAAAAACAACTATTCTTGGGCTGGGATATAGCTCAGCAGTAGAGAGCATGTAGTAGCATATACAAGCTCTGTTCAATCTAGAGCCCCAAGAGGAGGGGAAGATTATTTCTAAATTGCTGAGCATGGTGAGACATACTTGTAATCCCAAAACTCAGATAGCTAAGGCCAAAAGAATCAAAGACTTCAAGGCCACTTAAGCTATATAATGAGACCTTGTCTCAAAACAAAGTGTGGGGAGAATGGCTTAAGTAATAGAACCCCTGCTATGCAAGCACAAGGCCGCTGAGTTTCAAACCCGCAGTACCAACAGCAAAAAAAAAAAAAAAAGTAATTTGTAAGTGAACTGGCCTTTATTTTTTTAACTGCATTGCATATTAGTTAAGAGTATAATGACCTAATATTTTAATATTGGGTTTGGTGCAATTGCCTTTGATTTGCGCTCCACGCATTTCTTTTTCTTTTTTTCTTTCTTTCTTTTTTTTTTTTTTTTTTGCAATACTAGGGTTTGAACTCAGGGCCTACACCTTGAGCCACTCCACCAGCCCTTTTTTGTGATGGGTTTTTTTTTCAAGATAGGGTTTTGAGAACTATTTGCCAGGGCTGGCTTCAAACTCGATCTCCTGATCTCTGCTCCTAAGTAGCTAGGATTACAGGCCTGAGCCAACAGTATGATTTACCCATTTCAAACATATGAAAAAGACAAATATTTCAGTATTATTTGTATTTGACTCCATAGTCCGCATAAAAGAATCATGAAACCATCAGGGTTGGTAGACCATCTCTTGAGAACTGTTGGCTTACTTTAAGCATAGTTGTAAAGATTAAAATGTCACTTTATGTATAAAGCACTTAGTATAAAATCTGGCACATAAAAATACGGATTATAATGATTACATTATAATAACTGTAAATATTATGATTATGCAATAATACTATAAAGGAAAGTTAAGCACTGGATGGAAGTTAGATTATATGAAGTTTTTCCAAACCTGAGATTCTATTATGATTAAGTAACCATTAAAAGAATCGTCAGAGACAGATTTAAAGTACAAACATAATCTGACACCACTATTTCCTGCTGTTCAGTTTATGGCAGAAGCAAGGTATTTTCTTTTACTATTTTTACTTGTTGTCCAAAGATTATGCTACTAATGATAAAAATTATTTTACAATTATTAGAAAATAAAAGGAGTATTCCCCTATAATTATGACAGGCTAACAAGTCATTTTAATTATTTATTTTCAGTTTGCTTTTGCATATATGTGTTGTGCATATATATATAATACAACATTTTAGAATCATAAAAGAAATATAAATAAAAGTAATAAAAATGTAGTCAAAAGACAATGCCACATCCTTAAGTTACAATCATCAAGTTAAAATAGTGTATTGAGTGATCTCAGGAATCAGTGGATTAGAATGTATTAGCTCAAACTTGCAAAAACAACCTTTGGCAGTTCTCCCGAATAGTGTGAACCCATGAAAGTTTGGGCCTCCTCATAAGACAACTGCTATGTAAGTTTTATACACTGTAAAGTTTGTATTATACGGCTTTCATGACTGGAGGTGTCCTGAATCTACAGGGGCAATAAACGCACTTGGACCTAAGGCACTTGAGTTTCTTAATTTGAAGGCCACTTGCAATCCACGAACTCTTAACTGAAATCACGCTCAGGGAGAACATGCCACAATGGCTAGCCAGACATTTGTGGATACCTACATTAAGCTCTGAGACAATGCTTTGGAATTTCTCTTTGGAGCAGTTGGCCCATTCAAAACTTTGGTAACTCAAGCCCAAGATCAGACTTTCACATTAATAGACTAAGGTGCAGGTTGTTAAAATTCTCTACAAGGAAGTCATTCAAATAACAAATAATTGCATTTTTCTAGACTTTAACATTAGCTAACACTGGAAATTTTTTTACTACATGAAAGACCATTACAAACATGTATTAAGTGTACACACACATTAACTTTTTTCTAAACCTAGCAATCACCCTATTTCCTCCTGATGTAACAATGTCATCAGACATATAAGGAACCTAAAGTTCAGAGAGGTTTACGTGAATCACTTAGGTCAAAAAGCTGAGACAGACAGGCAAGATTTCAAAGCTACCCCAGACTATTATAAACCCTTTCCTCTTCATTACTGTTATGATACCTCTCAATGTTACCAATTCAATGTTACCAATTATTTTCATGAAAATTAAAGCAGTATAGTCAGTGAATTTAATAAAGGCTTTGAAAACATCTTCTGGGTTTCATGAGCCCTCTAAAGTATCCATATTTATAAACCCACGTTAAAACCTCTTGTTCTAAGGATGTCAAAAGCACCTAACAACGCAAATAAAATATAAAAGCTGAAAAAAAGGTAAGGCATAATAGTAGCTACCATTTATGAGCACCTACTATGTCCAGACGTCCCATGTTAAGTGCTTTACATATTATCTCACTTAGTTTTCATCTTACAATTCAATGACCATTACTTTGATGAGAAAACTGAAGTTCACAGGGCTTAAGTGAATTGCTCAAAGTCAAATAGTAGAGAAATAAGCTCATGCTAACTCCCTGGTGGCACACATGATTCCTCATAGGCAAACAATGAGTCAATACCAAGTCAAGAGTTTAAACTTTACTGCCAAAATAAACATAGAACAAAACTCTGGGAGACATATTCACCTGTATGACTTATGTAGTTCCATGACCTTCTCTTCAAGTTCCTTGGTCTGATTTGGGCCACTTTTAAAATCACTAACATAATCCACACCATGGAGTTCTGGGTCATAGTCTCCCAGCTTCAGACTGGATTGGTATAAGAACTAGTAATGCTAAATTGCAAAGGAACAGGGCAGACGTCCTGCATACGATGTCTGCGCCGAAGCTGAAGACATAAGTAGTATCTACAGCCAAAGAAGAAAAGATGTTAACATGCCAGCAACAACAACAGCAAAATACAGAGAACAAAAAGGAAAGAAAGGGGGAAGAGAAAAGGAAGAAAGGGGAGAGAGAAAAAAAGAAAGATTAAATAAATAACACTGAAAGTTGTTTAATCTAGATAAGCATATGGTTGTTCATTGTAATATTTTTGTCCCTTCTCTTTTCCCACAAAAATGAAACAAATATAATTAGGTTGAACTCATAGTTGGAAAGCAGTTTAGACAGAGGATAAAGTTGAAAAGTCTGAAAGAGGTAAAGAAACTAATATTTTGTTAAGAATACAGTATTAAGTACCATAATACATATACTGTTCAATCTTCATAATTACTTGTAAGATGGGCATTGCCAGATTATAGAAGGAAGAGCAGACTCAGAGGCTTAGCTTCCTCACTGTTAGTAATTAAGGCTCTGTGGTCCAAAACCAGGCCCTCTGTTTTCTATTGCTGCTTTGCCATATGTGTAGATACTGTCCTTCACCAAGGTGACATTACTGACACATCCTCACTAGGTATGAACATTCCTGGTGTGTTTTCCTTCCATAATGGACTAAGTGGTATGCAGCCTTCCACATACTACTGGACACTTTATAAGACTAGTTCTACCTGTGTGATAAAATGTTGGAATTCAGACTTTAGTTTAAACGCACAGATACTTCTATCAGTGTAATGCTTACACCTATGTCCCTGACCTCCTTACCATATGTGCCAACTGATTGAGCAGACCACTTCAGAATGTTATTGACAATTCCTTCACTAATTAGAATCATATCCTTGTTTTACCATAAGTTTGTTGAATAACATTTGCACCAACAAATTTTGCTATAAATTAGTCACCAAATGGATACATTTAAAAAAGTCAGATCAATATCATATAAATCACCAGAATTTCAAACTGCTTTAAAATATAGGTTATTAGCAAAATGTTCTGTGTTATACAGAGTAAGGCTGGATGAAGAAAGAAGAGTAAGTAGCAATGCTAAGAGGACATATGTTACCTGTGAAAACAGAATAATCAGTTTTCTCAGGGAGAGATATGTATGCATCTCAACTTTAAGAATTACACTAAGGATGACTGGACAACAAAGTAATCTTTAATAAATGGTTTAGAGCTGAATGGAGTGGCTCAAATGGTAGAGCTCCTGCCTCTTAAGCAGTACCCCAGTACTGCCAAAAAAAACCCAAAGAAACAAAACTTTTCACAGAATTTAATAATTAGAATTTAAGAGTATTTATTCTATACTTAAGAAATATGGAAACTGAAGGCCTAGAGATTGTCAAATTTTGAAATCAGATAGTTGACAGTAAAATCAGAATTAGAAAGCAGTTTCTCAGCAGCAGCAATTCAACTTAACAAACATTTTGCCAAACACCTACTTAGTAAAAGCTCTATGCAAATGTTATGGATATAAATACATACATAGTACTGTGCCATATATTGCTTTTCCATTTTTTGGTTAATATTTTTGCAAAATGTGATAAAAGTCATTTTCTTAAAAGAAATCAGTAGGTTGTTTTTAAAGATTGGAAAATTTTATTTTATAAATTAAGTGGGCTCAAAGGAAGATTAAACTCATGAGGATTATGTGCCTAACCATATAGTTCAAAAGGGAGATAAAAGAAATAGTAAGTAACTGTAACATTTGTTTTCTGTTCCCTGTGAGGAACATAGTGAGACAGCAGTATGGAGAAAAAAGAAGCAACCCAGACCTCAGCAGAGCCATTCTGAAAATAGGACTTGACGTTTTGACATTTGTGTCCTGCTCTCTTCAAGGTGATGTGGTTCCACCACTTTGCGGAACACACATGATAAGCAAGACTGTTTCCCTGGCACTTTCTTCCGGAAGGTCAAATATTTCAGGCTTTTAGGCTCACTTTTTGGCAAGCCTGCCTTGAAGTGACCAGAAACTTCCTATCATAGGCTAATCACTTAACTGCTCATCATTTTCTTTAATTCTGAATAGGAAATTCCCAGAGTTTATGATGGTGAGAATTAGCATTACATACTTCACTATTCATTAATTATTTACCTTGTTATGTCTTCTGTTAACTGTGCTGGGTCAGGTGGATAGAACTTCACGTTAAATGTGAAATTCCAAGGGACACCTGCAAAAATAAAGAAATTCTGTTTATGTCTAAGTTTCTGATTTGTTATAAGTACCTTAAAATACTCAAAAATTTCTATTTTTCTGAAATTTTTCAATATTTTCATGCTTAGGGTTAATTTTTTTAAAAGAATAAAGTTATTTAGACTCTGCTTATGAAAGACAGAGGATAGTTTTTTGTTTTGGCTTATTTTCTTTGTTTCTTTTTTCTTAACCTGAATTAATAATTTTGTTTACAAGGGATTAGAACTACATGGACAAAATAACATGAAGGAAGCCATCTTATAGGTCAACTTGTTTGCACCAATGATTTAAAAATATGGTTAATCTGGGTCATCAAAGGTCATTCAAGTGATCAATGGATGTCCTTTTTCAGTTTTGCCATTACTTACTTGTGATTCTACAACAAATAAACAAAAGTATTCTTCTCATTAGTATGAGTGAGATTAGAAGATGATGATGATGATGATGATGATTATTATTTTGCAGTACTGGGGTTTGAACTCAGGGCCTACACCTTGAGCCCCTCTACCAGCCCTTTTTTGTGGTGGGTATTTTCAAGATAGGGTCTCTCAAACTATTTGCCTGGGCTGACTTCAAACTGCAATCCTCCTGATACCTGCCTCCTGAGTAGCTAGGATTACAGGTGTATACCACCGGCCCTTGGTTTATAAGATTATCTTATTTTATTATTATTTTGATCTGAGTTTTTTTTGTGTATGTCTTTTTTTATTATTATTCATTTATTCACACGTGCGTACACTGTTTGGGTCATTTCTCCCCTCTGCCCCCCGCCCCCACTCTCTCTCCCTAGAATATTATTTTAGAAACAAAAAGGAAGAAAGACTTGGTAAGGTGACTCACGGGTAATTCTAGCTACAAGGGAGGCCATCATGAGGAGGTAGAGAATTAGACCATCTCAACCAATAAAAATTGGTGTGGTGACAAGTGCTGTCATACCAGCTAGGCTGTGGGAAGCTACATAGGAGGATCATTGTCCAGACTGGCCAGGGAATAAATATGAGACCCTGTTTGAAAAATAACTAAAGCAAAAAGGGCTGGTGGTATTGTCCTTGCCTAGCAAGCACAAGGCCCATTCAAACTCCAGTACCACCACCACCAAAAAAACCTACACAAAACAAAAAACAGGGAGGTGGAGCAGAATTTTCAGTGTATACCATAAAGTAATACAACCTGTTGTTTTACTTTCTGATAGGATAAAATCACATCAATCTAGCAATTGTTAATTCATAATTCCCCATATAGACTTTTTTTAAAAGTCTTCTATACTACCTATAAAAATGCATTGGATAGAAAAACACAGAAAATGAAGATAGCTTAAAGGAATATTTAATATATGTGAATTAAGTATTTAAGAACTTTAAACATAAAATTAGTTATTTCACAACATATGTTAAGTGATAATTTTTTAATTGCATAAGAATAGCATTAAGGAAATCAAATTAGCAATAGTTTACAAAGTGTGATTTTTTCTTATCTCTCTATTTTGGTGGTGCTAGGGATGGAACCCAGGGCCCTGCACATGTTAGGCAAGTGCTCTACCACTTGAGCTACACTCTCAACCTTGTTTTTTCCTTTTTGAACTATGTTAAGTAACTCATACAGAAAGCTTGATAACACCTAGTGGGGGAAATAAACACTTTCAGGTATTGCTGATAAGCATGTAAACTGGCACAACACTATGAAGAACAATATCCATGAAAAAGTAAATGTATATGCCCTTGCAATTCCATTTCTATAAGTGAATCCAAACATACTTGAATGTAGTCAAAATGCTATAATTATATTTTTGTAACAGCAAAATTCTACAAACAACCTAAATATATTTACTAAGCAAAAGATGATCAGTTGTAGGGCTGGGGATGTATCTCAGTGATAAAGCACTTGCTAAGCATGCAAGGCAAGTGTCTGGTTTTATCCCTAGCACTGCAAGGAAACAAACAAAAAGAATGAGTTTTGAAGCAGAAGATCAGTTAAATTATGTGTCAGTTAAAATATGTGGGGAACGAGGTAGGTGTTAAAAAGAAATAACTCTATCTAGAATAATCTCCAATATAGTGTTAAGTGAGAAAAAAATCAAAGGGAACAAACAGTATATATGCAAAGCTACTGAGCAAGTCAGAGAGTCAAAAAATGCATTATAGGTATGACTGTATATATATATATATATATATATATATATATATATATACACACACACACACACACACATATACATACATACATATATATACATACACATAATATATACATATAGACAAAGTATCTCTATTTGGATATATAATAAACTAGTTCTAGTAGTTGGAATACTAAGAGGAAGAAACTCCTGGAGAAAGAAGCGGAGGCTAGGGGAAAACAAATTGCAAGGAGACCTACTTTCACTACATATTTCTTTATTCCATTTGAATTTTGTACTGTGCACATTTACTACTTACTATACTGCAAATACTTTTAAAAGACAATCTGTCTCCTCCCACTAAATGTAAATTCACAAGGGCAAGAACTTCCTTCTATTTTATTTGGTATATATCCCTACTACCTAAAGCAGTACTTGGCATATCATGAGTGTTCAAGAAATAGTCATTAAATGAAGGAAATAAAGTAACTGATCTCACAGCATTGTTGTGAAGGTCATATGAGAATGCTAAAGATCTAGGGAAAATAAAGATTGCACGAAAGAAGGATCATACATATTACTATATTAAAATTATTTATCTATCCATTATTCCAGCTATCCCAATGATTTCAAGTTACTAGACCTAGTGAAATGAAAACACTTTTTTAAAAGTACAGTAATTGCTTCCCAGCCTTTTGGCTAAAGTCAAGTTTAGTAAAAACAAACAAATTGTACCTGTTTGGATTTTTTCTCTCTGTTTAGCCCAAAATGAGGAAGTTTCACTGCATTAGAAATAACCATAACTAAGTGGAAATGTCCCAAAAATTAACACTTTTACTTTTGTTGATAGCAATAAGAAGAGGAACTCAAGACTTTCAGTTTCCTATTCTTTTACATGCAAAAGTTACATGTTTTGGATATTATTAAAAAACTGCCCAGTGTCCTTGCAAGCAAGTTTAGAGCTATGCAACAGGGAGACTACAAAAGTTGATCACATAGAACTTAAAAATGTTCAACATTAGAATTTCTCCCTTCTGTTTATGGTGGCACACTTCTGTAATCCAGCTACTAGAGAGGCACAGGTAGGAAGTTTGAAGTCCAAGATCAGTTGGGGCAAAAGAGTGAAAAACTAAAAGCAAAAGGACTGGGATGAGGCTCAAGTGTTAGCAAACTACAGGCTCAGAGTTCAACCCCCAGTGCTGGAAAAAAAAAAAAAAAAAAAAAACCTTCTAACCCAGCAACATTTCAAAAAAGTATATCATCTGATTCTAACCATGAGGACAAACTCAAATTGACCACTTATAAAATTGCTGGTCTGCGCTGTGGCTGCCCTGGTGAGATGAGGCTGGCCCTTCCCTGCCTGGCTCAGCTGAGATAGTTCTAAGCAGTAGTGAGATTTTAAGATACTAAGCTATAGGTAAGATTTTAATAAAATATGACCAGATTTTTGAAATTCAAGTCATGGGTGTGAAATTCTCAAATTTACATAAAAAGTGGAAGTGCATGCAATGTGACATTAAAAGAAGGAAAGCTGTGGCAGCTGTTGCTGTCCCTTACTCCCCATTGGAGGTCTGGAGCGTGTACCTGAACCCACGTAGCGCGTACAGTGCTTCTTGATGCCTTAGAAATAGGGAAATAATATTTTTTTTTTGACAAGCAAGCTAGGAAAGAGAAAGTCCATCAGACAGTTAATTAGATCTGCCTCTCAGGAAATAGTACTAACTTGTTCTTTTTGTTCCTGGCTTTCAGCTTGTGAGATTACTCTATTTTTTTAATATAATTTTATTTCTTTCAATGAATCTAAAATAAAAAAAACTTTGGAACAAAAAAAAAATTGCTGGTCTGCACTCTTCAAAATTACCAAGATTATGAAATGTTTTAAGGATTCAGGAACTATTCCAGATTAAAGAAAACTAAAGAGATGTGACAATTAAATGCAAAGATTACCTTACACCTGGAGGACATCATTGGGACAGCTGACATAAGGTTTGTAGACTATAGTACTACTGTTTCAATGTTAATTTCCTGTTATGGTTATGTAAGAAAACTCCTAGCTTTTAGAGTATAGAGGCAGAAGGACAGGACAACATGACTGCAACTTACTCTTTTAAATTGAAGTAGAAGTGAACCACTTAAAAGTGAACAATTTAGCAGCACTCAGTACATTCATGATGTCCTGCGACCATCATCTCCATCTAGCTCTTAAATGTTTTTCTCTCTCCCAAGGGAGACCCTGTGTCCAATAAGCAGTCACTTGTTTGGCCTCTGGCAACCACTAATGTTTCTGACACTCTGATTGACCTATTTTGTCTTTTAAATATAATGATAGAATGTGTGGCCTTTTCTGCCCAGATTCTTTCATTTGTCTGGTATTTATTTACTTATTTATTTAATTTATTTAGAAATCTTGACGAGCTCTCACTATGTTGCCCAAGCTGGCCTTAAACTCCTGGACTTTAGCAATCTACCAACCTCAGAGTCCCTAGTAGCTGGGACCATAGTCACATGCTACTGTGCCCAGCTTCCTTCCATCCAGCATAATGTTTTCAAGGCTCATCTACAAAGTTGACTCATCTTTATTCCTTTTTTGTGGCTGAATAATACTCTAGCATTTAAATATTCTACATTTTGTTTATCACTATCTGTTACTAGCTATTTGGGTTGTTTCCACCTTTGGCTATTGTGAATAGTGCTGCTACAAGGCAACTTACTTTTTGTTGTTGTTTGCTTTTTGGCAGTACTGGAGTTTGAACTCAGGGTCTCATGCTTGCCACGCAAGTGCTCTTACTGCTTAAGCCACTCTGCCAGCAAGGCAATTTACTTTTAAGTGCTTTAGGAAAAAACTGTGTGTGTGTGTGTGTGTGTGTGTGTGTGTGTGTGTGTGTGTGTGTGTGTGTGTGTGTGTGTGTGTAAATAAATAGAAAAGGAGATAAAGTAAATGTAGTGAGATATTAGCACCTGAGGAATCTGGGTAAAGGGCATCCAGGAAATCGTTATACCATTCTTTCAACTTTTCTGTAAGTCTGAAATCATGTTCAAAAATTTTAAATCCATAATTTAAAAAAATGCCTGTCTTGTGAGGACATAGGAAACCAAGAATTCTCACACAACACTGGTGGGGATGTAAACCGTTACAACCAATTTAAAGGGGAACAATTTGACAGCACTTGTAAAGGTGAAAATAAACATAACCTATAATTTACTCCGAGGTGTTCCACTGAACTTCACTTCTAGGCATACATCCATATCCTAGCCAGGCACCAATGGCTCACACCTGTAACACTAGCTACTCAGGAGGCAGAGATCAGGAGGATCACAGTTTGAAGCCAATCTGGGCAAATAGTTTGTTAAGACCGTATCTTGAAAAAAAAAGCCCTTCACAAAAAAGGGCTGGTGGAGTGGCTCAAGATGTATGTTCAAGCCCCAGGATTGGAAAACAAAACAAAACAAAACAAAACAAAAATATGTGTGTGTGTGTATCTCCATATCATAAATCAGTGTTTTTGAAACTGCAGATTATGATCTACTGCTTGAGGAGGGGGTAAGCACTTAAAAACATGAAATGGAATACAAAAGAAAAATCAGGGTGGGGATGATAACTCATGCCTGTAATTCAGCTACTTGGGAGGCAGAGATACGAGGCTCATGGTTCAAGGCCAGACTGCAATACCCTATCTCACTAGGTCTGGTGGTGCATGCCTGTAATCCTAGTTACTCAGGAGGTGTAGGCAGGAGGATCTCAGTCCAAGGCTGGCCGAACAAAAAGAGGGCTTAAAAAATAACTAAAAGGCCAAAAGGGCTGGAGGCATGGGTCAAGTGGTAGAGCACCTGCCTAGTAAGCATGAGGCCTTGAGTTCAAACCCCAAAAGTGCCAAAACAAAAACAGTTACATGTAATTATCTGTTATATAATTTAATAATGTTCAAAAAGATAAAACAGAACCCTATTTTTAGATAACAAAAATTCATAGGTAAAAACCATTTCAACAAATTCAGTGGAATCATTAACACAAACTTCTGGAGGAGAAGCAGAGGGCACATGGACTGAAGATGTTTTAAAGCATCATTCATGTAAATTACACAAGGTGCAAGACTAGCTTGCCCTTGCTCTATCCTATTCCAGAAAAGGGAGAAGGCAGCAGGACTGACTCAGTAGAGGAGGTCTCTCATCAGAATCAAGAAAATAAACAAACTAAACATTAAGCTAGGAGGAGGATAAGACTAGTAAAGTTAGAAAAAGGTACACATGGATAAGGCTGACTCTGAGGAAAATTAAAAAAAAAAAAGATAAAGTAACTTTATATATTGTACATGGGTATGGATATATGAAAGGAAAAGTATAAAAACACAAACTATAGGAATCACCCCAGATCCACAATGGATCTCTAATGGATATGAAGAGAAGGAGAGAGAATGAGAGGCAAATTAGAGATAAAACTTCCCTGCTTTTTGGGCTGGAGGAGTGGCTCAAGCAGTAACAGTGCCTGCCTGCCTGCCTTAGCAAGCATGAGATCTTGAGTTCAAAAACCCAGGTTTTAAAATAAAACCTTCCCTGTTTTATTTTAAATAAAAAAATGTTAACACATGTTATTTCTGAGTGGGTGGCAAATCTATGGGTATTTGTTACATTAGCCATGATATTTTTCAGTATTTTTTGAGATATGAAAAATTTTTTTTCTTTTTTTTGTAGTACTGGGGTTTGAATTCAGGGCCTTGCACTTGCTAGGTAAGTGCTCTACCACTTGAGCCATGCTCCTGTCTCTTTTTGCTTTTCAGTTATTTTTTAGTTAGGGTCTCATGCTTTTTTCCTGGGCCAGTCTTCTCAGACCACAATCCTTGTACCTATGCCTCCTGTGTATTATGCCTCCTGAGATTATAGTTATGTAAGATCATGCTCAGCTTGCTTGCTGAGATGGAGATCTCTCTAACTTTCCACGTGGGCTGGCCTCATACCATGATTCTGCCAATCTCCATCTCCCAACTAGCTGGAATTTCAGGCATAAGCCACTCCAGCTGGTCTTGAAAAGAGATCTTCTGTTGAACCTCCACTACAATTTTAAATTTCTTTTCTTTCTTTTCTTTTCCTCCCTTCCTTTTTCTTTAGTGCTAAGGATCAAAACCATGGTATTATGCATGGTTGTTCTGAGCTAGCATTCTACCACTGAGCCATATTACTACCCCTAAATTTTGTACTTTTTATTCTGTTTCTAAGAATTACAGACACTTAACAAGTGTACACAGACGTATGTACAAATGCAAACTTTTTTTGAGTCAGGGTCTTGCTAACTTCTTGCCTGGGCTGGCCTTAAACTCTCAATCCTCCTGCTTGTACCTCCCAAGTAGCTAGGATTACAGGTGTGTACCACTATAGCTGGCTACAAATGCAAACTTGATTACAATAGCAAACTATTGAGATTAACTTAAAATGCCTAGCAATATGCTTATATATACTGTTATATAACCTATTTTTTCAAAATTTAATGAGATATATAGAGATAGTATAGATATACTATTTATAGAGTATTCCCAGTTATCTTACATAAAAAGATTAGCTGCATATTTACATAGACACACCCATGGGTTTCTTTAGACTCAGAACATCTCTAGAAGGAAGACAAGAAGTTAGTTAGCATGGTTGCCTCCAGGAAAGAAAACTGCGTGACTGAGACAGGGAAGAATGGAGATCTACCTTGCACTATTCTCACTGCACCTTTCAATTTTATGCCACATACCTATAGCATCTACTTTTAAAATTAGTTTAAAAAACTATGTAGGTCATATTTGCACTTTTGAAAAGCAATTATCTGAACTGCCTAGAAAAAAAATCTTCCTGATTGTAACAATATAACAGTGATTGAGTTATGTTTTCCTTGTTATGTCTCAAATATTCTGAGTAGTTTGTGTCCTGATGTGCTTTTTTTTTCTTGTTGAGACAGAATCTCACTATGTAGCCTCACAGGTTGCCTGAGCAACACAGTGAGACCATGTCTCAAAAATATATTTATACAGTAAAAACAAAACAAGCTTTTATAGGTAAAGAGCAAATATGAAAAGTTACCAGTCCAAAGGAATGTCTTGTTTTTCTATTTAGCAAAGTTAAAACAATTATAAACAGGGTCTAAAGGGAAACATTTCACCATAACAGAAGTGGTTTCTTTTAAAAAAACAAATGAAAAGCAAAATTAGTGTTCAGCTAATAGAATTAAAACTTACTGGTCATGATGAATAACAACTATTGCATTTCCTGAAAGTTTCTTCTAATAGAAATTTAAATTAAAAGTAGAGCTAGCAAGCCAGTCTCTACCCCCAAGTCAGGCACGGTGGCTCACTCAGGAGATGGAGATCAGGAGAACTGTGGTTCAAACCAGCCTAGGCAAAAAGTTAGTAAGACACCATCTCAACAAAACAAGTTTGGCCACATGTCTGTCATCCTAGCAATGTAGGACATGTTAGTGGCAAGTAAGTCTTGTTCCTCCACTCTTTTTTTCTTCCATAGTCCCTTACACTTCAGTTTGGAAAAAGACTGCTGGAAAGGATGAAAAGAACTACAGTGGTCTTCCCTTATCCTCAGAGGATATGTTCCAAGACCTCCAGTGGATGCTTGAAATCTCAAATAATACCAAACCTTATATATACTGTTTTTACACACACACACACACACACACATACACACGTACCTATCATAAAGTTGAGAATTCATGTTTTCACTTAAAGGACATACCTTACAGTTTCTCTTTGGCCTAACCAAATTGCCAGCATTGCTACTCTTTGTGGCCACTATTAAGTAAAATAAGCTTACATGAACACCACCAGGCCTGTGATAGTTATCTGATAACTTGATAGCTACTAAGGAACTAGGGGAGGGGAGGGTATACAGTGTAAGCTGGACAAAGGGAGAATTCATGGCCTAGGTAAGATGGAGCAGATCCACACAAGATTTCATTCACTACTCAGAACAGCATGCAATTCAAAACATGAATTTTTATTTCTGGAATTTTCCATTTAATATTTTCAGATCATGTTGACTGTGGGTAACTGAAACTGTAAAAAATGAAACTGTGGATAAGGACTGTATAGAAAGAAAAACACAAAGAAAGTAAGAATACAGGGTTGGGGGAGTGGCTCAGTGGTAGAGTCAGGACTTAGCATATATAAGGCCCTGAGTTCAATCCCTAGCACCAAAAACAAAGACAGAAAAAAAAAGTTAAAATATATAATAGTGGAAAACAATTTAAAAAGAACAAGCTCTAACAACAATCTCCAACTAGAAGGCTACAGAGGTTTCAATCACTACCATATTGAGAAGTGACTCCTATTATCCTTACTCTTTTTCATCTTTGTTCTTTTCACCTTCTGTTATTCTCACCTGTTCCTATCTTTCCCAACTGTGCCCAGATGTAAAAAAAAAAAAAAAAAGAGTCAAGATCTGCCCTACATATCAATCAACAGTGTCCACCTCTGCTGCATCTTTCTATTATGGAATCCCCTCCTTCCATGGGAAAGCTTTATCTCAATTTCAAAGCACTCTGCGATAGTCAGGATTCTAAAGTAACTGACTCACAGCCAGAAGTGGTTGGAAATCCTCTGACCTACTAAAAGAAAGAAAGAACTATAAAAAGGGCTATATCCACTTACCTCGAACCTGTTTTTTTATTTCTTTGGCAGAATCCAGCCATGTCTGTAAAAAGAAGAAAAGGCATTCACACAGAATTCCAAAACACATAAACAACAGAGTACTGGAAGCAGGATCACTGATCATCTTGGATAAGTGCCTCCAGATCAACCTACATTTCTCTTGATAGTCTTTGCATTAATTTTATAAAGCATAGTGATTTTCAGCAGAGAAACAGGGAGCCAGAAGATGGGCTTGAATCCAAACTCTACTATACCCTGGCTGAATAGCTTAGGATAATCTACAAAATGAGATCATAGTAGTAGTACCCATTTCACAGATTTATGATGATTATTAAGTAAGTTAATATATATAAATCTTTTAGTAAGCAGCAAATGTGAAATAAGGCTATGCTATTTATATTACCTGTTTAAAAACTAGTAAAGATCTACAACCTGGATGACTGACATCATCCAAATCTTATTTTCCCCCTAATCCTGACCTTTGGTCTATTCAAGTTTTCTATGTCAGCATACCATCTGGCACATGCTTTGTGCCTAGTTAATGTTTACTGAGTGAATATTTGTTCCCTGACTACTTTGCTTACTCTAACCTCTCCTTTCAATATTCTCCCCCTTGATTTATGAGTCTATACACCACGAAGGTGGGGTTCTTCAACCCATGGTATCCCACATAAAACAATGGTATTAACATCTTTCATAAAACCTGTTGAGAAATATTTAAAGACAAAGATTACTGGGCTGGAGTTGTAGCTCAGGTTGCAGAACACTTGCCTAGCATTGTAAGGCCCTTGGCTCAATCTCTAATACTGAAAAAAATTACCAAATTTCTAGAATTATTTAAAGCAAATTTACTGAATACAAGACACATAGAGAAAAGCACATTGTCTAAGAAGTAGAATGCATGCTTAGCATATTCAAGGCACTGGGGCTTAATACACACACACACACACACACACACACACATACACATACACATACTATAAAACATGAGTAAAGCAACATATAAGAACTATAACACAACTAAAAATCCCAAGAGTCTTACTCTTGCTTCCATCTAATTCTTCCCTTTCCTTCATTCGAAAGGATTTAAAATTGGATTTTAGTGCTATTCAGAAAAGAGAAGTAGGGTGTTCCTTCCTCGCCTTCTACTAATAGGATACAGCACTGGTATCTACCATATATGCTCTACCAGAGGAATGGGCTTCAATATCATAGTTTTTTATTTGATTATGTGCTACTTTCACAGTTACAGAAAGATGATCATGACAACAGACAATAAGCACAAGAACAGAAACTACTTTCCTTTTGTATTCTTCTGCAATTAACATAGAAGATTAAGAAACATTTATTAATAAACACCACTTAATACAAAATTGCTCTATAGTACAAAAACCAGGCACATACTTTTTAAATCTGTCAGAAAGGGAGGACCTGGATGTCTTCTCCTTTGTTTCTTATTTAGATCAAAGAACTTTAGGTCTAAAGTTTTTTAAGAACAATTGATAAGTTGTGTGGAGCCTCCAAGAACTCTGTATTTTCCATTTTTTAAAGAGAATCTCTCAAGGTAATCTGAAGTTCCCAAGTTTCTTCCATGGATTCCGTGAGCCACTCTCTGATTCTGGGGATAAAATTCCCAACAACTTGACATTGAGAAGGCAATCCCAGATTTGCATCAATCACATGGGGACGCCAAGGTTTAAGTTACCTTTTGGAACAAATTATTACAGCTTGAACAAGACCAAAGGTCAAGGTCAAAAAACCTTCTGGAAATAATAAAAAATGCATTCAAGATCAGGTACGTTTATATTCAATTTGAAATATTTATTTCCCAGTATTTTATTTAGCCAACAATAATTGAGAAAGGATTCAATGTGGCAACCACTGTGGTTATTTAAAAAAAAAAAGGACTAAAAAACAACAACTTCTCTATAAGGAGCTGTCATTTCATGTGAGAGATAAGCACTGAACAATCGGTGTGCTTGTTCTAGGTATGATCATTACTATGAGTATTCTAAGAACAACCTGGGTTAAAAGGCAGTTTGAAAATAGTATCACTAGTGTTTGGGGAATCTAAATTGAGTTTCAAGAGCCAAAGAACAAAAAGGAGTAATCAGAAAGGCACAAAAGTATAAAAGACAACATGATACATCTGGGTTGCTGCATGTAGTCCAGCATAGCTTGAGCACAGAGGTAAGAAGGAGAGACATGAAACTGAAAAGAATAAGTCAGGGCCAGGTCCTGAGAGGCACAGCACTCCATGCTAAGAAACTTGGACTTCATCAAGTTCTAGACAAAGAGGATCCTCTGAAGTATTTAAAATAAAAGAGTGGCATGAATTAGAAGAAGCATGATTGTAGACAAGGAGACCAAGAAAGAGGCTGTTATTGAGAAAAATAATTGTAGTTCAGCAGACAGAAGGATTCAGACTTTGAAGTCAGACAGTCTTGAATTCCAATTGTTTCAACCTTTCCCTCATTTATTAGCTGTGAAACCTTACATGAGAAAATCTTTCTGGACCTCAATTTTTTCCTACGTAAAACTGGGACAAAACCCTCTTCACAGACATACTATGAATTAAATTATCTGCTAAGCATTAAAAATACATAATCAGTATTCAATAAATAGTACTGATATTGATCATTGAAAGGACCTGAAAGGATAAAGTCTATGGGACAGAGAGGAAAGATATTTAGGAATTTAGAATTTATGAAGAAGAAAATGGGTTGGGGGGAGGGGTGGACTCATGGTTAGGGTTAGTAAAGTATAATGATAAAGGATATTAATTCCCAAGATGCTGGTATGGGCAACTGAATAGATATAATACTTTTCACAGAGACAAGAAATATAGGAAAAGGGCAAATCTTATGAAAAAGAAAAATATATATAGCAAAAACTTAGATGAACCCAAATGTACATCAACAGCAGGATGAATAAACTGTGCTCTATTTTTGGAAATCCAAATGGGATCTTTCTCTCTCTTTCCCTCTCTTTCTTACCCTCTCTCCCCACCCCCACCCTTGTGGTGAAGGGATCAAACACAAGACCTCCCCAGTACTAGGCAAGCACTCTACCACTGAACTACATACTCAGCCTCCAAGTGGAATATTTCAATAGATGGTTGGATAGCAGGTCTGGCACTCAGACAACATACTTGGATGAGAGATATAAATGTGGGTACGTTGTATAGGTAGTAAAGTCATGAAAGTAGATAAAGATCATCCAGGGAACATACAGTGGCGGGGAGGGAGAGACACTAAAGATATTCCCTTGGGGAATGCTTACATTTAAGTGATAGAAAACAAAGCACTGAGAAATTAAACAGAAGATGTGGCTAAAGTGGTTGGAAGAAACGGGAGAGACTAGTATCTCAGAATCTAAAGGAATGAAAATACTCAAGGATGGGGGAATAAGATCATCAGTATTACAAGAGGAACAAGTAGCATGAAGAGTCAAAATTCAGATTTTTCTTGCTACAGAGTAATTAGGGTGCAAATCAAGGTACAATGAGCTATACCAAGTGCAGTTGAGAATGTGGCATAGCTGAAACCCTTACTCACTGTTGGCAGGAAAGTAAACTGGTAAATCCACTTTAGCAACTGTCTGCCACTAGCTACTAAAGCTGACCATGTATCTTTGAACCCCAGCAATTCCACTCCTAGGACTTCCACCAAGAGAAATGTGTATGGCAAGATGCACCAAAGCACAGTACAAGAATGCTATTAGCAGCACTACTCATAAAAGCCTCAACTAGATAAGCCAAATGCCCACCAAAAGTAGAATGCACAAATAAAGTGTGGTATTATCAAACAACGAACTATATTATACAACAGAGAGGAAGAATTACTGCTACTTGCAATTGTATGGCTGAATTTTGAAAATATGAGATTGAACAAAAGAAGCCAAACCTAAGAGAACATATGCCAGGAAGGCAGGGAGGGGGGAAGGGAGATAATGAGAGACAATGAGGGAGATAATGAGTACAACAGTGAAACAACAACAACAACAAAAAAACAGATTTGAGAAATGTCAAGTAGCACCTGGGCAAAGACTACAGAAGGGTTATCTTGCCCCAGAGGTTAAAACAGCCAATGAAATAATATGTGACCATGTATGGGACAAGCTATACCCCTCTATTTTTGTAACCTGCTCTAAATGGTATATAAGGAAAGCCCCCTTTGTTCTTGGGGCTGACTTTGGACTCAAGTCTGCTGAGTTGCTGTTGGCCTGCTTAATAAGCTTGCTTCCTGAAAGGTTTGGTGCCCTGTCTCTCTGAGCTGTCCTACAACATTTCTGGGCACTCGTCTGGGATTTAGAGGCCAATGTTCTCACCTCCTTGTTGCTGGCTCAGCATCCCTGGCCTCCTTGGAAGGCTGCCCCTGCCAGGCACCACCGGATGTGTTGATCAAAGGGGAGGGAGCCTCTCTCCCAGCAAACAGAGAAGGTGAGTTTTGGTCACACAAAGGAACCCGAAAAGGCTTAGGAATCAACTTGGGAGCCCCACTCATCAGACTGTAAGAACCCGGGTTTGAATTCAGGTCTGCCTCAGGAGGCAGAAGGGGAGTCTGATCAACTCTCAGCAAGACACCCCTGTAACTGCCTTTTGGGGTGAAACCGTGTCTCTCAGGTTCAGGAAGCTGGGTGGAATACTGTGCTATGTGAGTATGTGAAAGTGCAAGCCTGAGACGTAGCCCAGCTGCAAAGTGAATGCGGAGTCCTGATCCACAGGTCCATGAGGAAGTCACATGGTTCAGGGTGAGCCCTAACAGGGCATCCAGTCCAGGGCTTATATGGACTCTCTACAGGGATTTAGAGACACCTAAATCCCTGCAAGGGGAGCAGCTAAGACAGACAAAGCAAGTGGTGTTATTTGTTTTCTCCTGTGTGCTGGAGAGAAGGACCCCTTTCCTCCTCTCCACAGCCTTCATCCATTCTATCTCTGTTGCTGTCTTGATGTCTGGTAATGGGAAGAATGGGAAGAAGTCAGAGTAAGAACACCCCCCTGCAGTGTGCATGCTTAAGAACTTTAAAAAGGGATTTAATAGA